AATTGGCAAGGGGTTACATCACATTTTTTCTCAAATTCGGGGTCGGTTCGAAAATCGAAAGTTTTTTGATGATATTTTTTTATATGTCTGGAAAGTAACATCCGAATTTTTAAAATAGTAAATTTTTAAATTGGTACGGAAGCCTACTAATGATTGGCATTTAATAAAAAATAACACTCGAGGGGTTATTGTAAATAAAAAACGGTTTGGTCATGTTGTCAGCCTCTCTTCATGATTTCTTGGAATATCTCGTCCAAATATTGTCCGATTATGGAATGATATACCTCTTTGGACTCGTAATAATGATAACTAGCTGTTAAACCTAACTGTAAAACTAATTGGTTTTAATTGGCAGCTTACTCAAAAAAATATGCCTAATTTATTTACTTTTTACCAGTTCTACTTTTATTAAGTTTTAATTGCATCGCGACATTTCACGTAATTGTGTAAGCAAGTGTAATTATTTCTTCCATCTAAACCAAACTACAGTATTCATTATTGTAGTAAACACTAAACCACACAAACACTCACACAAATATCCCGGCTGGGTTATGCATTATTCCGCCACAGATGCCGCATGGGTTGGTATCTCAGCTTTCGAGATGCTTAAGATTATGCATTTATTCAAGTGCATTGTGGCAACCAAATGCCGCATACGGAATCATTATGGCCAGAGTATAAATTCTGCATATTGCCCATGCTGATAAAATCAATATGTTGTATGCTAATCGCAACGTTTACTTTTGCGGCTAAGTGTATTTCATATAATGTCAGCCCCGAAACATAATTTCGTAGAGGACCAAAATTAATGCATACTAAAGTACACAATGCGTTTGATGAACTGCATCAATGTGGCTGGCATTTAGTTGAAATTGAATATTGAGCGATTAGACCATAACCATCATAGTTAATATATTTTTAGTGCTACTTCAATTAAACAGCTTCGATATGAGGCTGGTTAGACAATTTATAGTGCATAGCACTTACAGCCAATAAAAAAACGTATTTGATTAGATTAGGTTATTTTCACTTGATTTAACGAGGTGTAACACAAAAATAGTTATACCTCACGCACTTTTCTGATTAAGCACCTGTTGTTATCGTCTGGTTCCAGACAGAAATATTACGATTATAATACAGTATTATGGACACATTAGTAAATAGTAAACACATTCCAGACTGCGCTGTTGGCTCTGCGATTTAACTTATTAAAAAGCTAAACAGAATCTCCATTGATAATTATATTGAAAGATACCTTTATTAACAACTATAAGCAAAGAGAATGCTTTTTCTATTTGCTATTAACGATATCAACTGCAAAACATAACCAGTCCCGTCCATTTGCAATCAAATTCCTATACACATGATTAAAGCGCCGCACCTGTTACCAGGTCGTTGGCAGCGTTTCATAATCTATAATCACTAGACTGATAAAAGAAAAGGTAACCCAAAAGGTAAAACCCAATGGCCTTGATGAAATTGGTTTAAGTGCATTGTGCATACATCTGAACGTCCAATAAGCCCATAAACTTGAGGAACAATTAAAAATGAATAATCAATGAAAAGAAAACAAAACAAATAGAAGATTATCGCATATGGACAGAATAAAACAGCTGCGATTAGGGTTTAATGGGTTAGTTAACCACCGTTAGGGTTCGCTGTAGGCATTCCGAATATAGACGTGGTCGGAATGTGCTGTCGATGCTGTGGTGTGACCCAACAAAAGGTCTGGGTTTTTGGCTTTGGAACACTATTCACCGTGTTAGGACTCCTAGCTGTAATATGGTGGCCCACTCTTATAGATAGTATCATAATGAAGGTAAGTAGATGCGAAAAAATCATGATAGATTTAACTATTCTAATAGTCCCGATTACGTATAGGCTTTGCCGCTGACGCCCACATCGAGAACCTATGAGAAATGGGCGGAGCTGCCCATACCCGTTTATATGAATATGTATCTGTGGAATTGGACGAACGCGGAGGAAGTGAAGCTGTATGGTGTTAAGCCAAATTTTCAGCAATTGGGGCCCTATGTTTATAGAGAGGAGCGCTTAAAAATGGATTTGGAGTGGCATGAGAACAATACGGTGACCTTCAAGCCAAATCGCACCTGGTTCTGGGAGGAGGAACTCTCCGGTGGCAAGCAGACGGACTTGGTGACGGTGCCACATCTACCATCGATTGTGAGAACTATTAAATACACTGAAAATACAAAGTTAATTTCTTTTATTTTTTAGGCCGCAGCGACTGCCATTCGTGACAGCCCCACACTTATTAAGTTTTTTTTCAACAGAGCGCTCAATGATAATGGTGGTGCACTCTATGCCACCCACACGGCCAGCGAGTGGCTCTTCGAGGGTTTCTATGATGAGTTTCTGCATTACGCAATGACTTTGAACAATCCTCTGGTGCCGCCAATTGAAACGGATCAGTTTGCCTGGTTTCTAAACCGAAACGGATCCAAAGACTCTGAGGGCGCCTTCACGGTGCACACGGGCGTAGGTGATATTAAGGAAATGGGCGAAATTAAATTCTGGAATGGTGCAAATCATACGGGCTGGTATGAGGGCGAATGCGGTCGTCTCAATGGCAGCACCACAGATCTCTTTGTCCCCGACGAGCCAAAGGAGAAGGCACTCACCATATTCATAGCCGATACCTGCCGCATTATCAATTTGGAGTTCACGGGCCAAAGCTATGAGATTGAGGGTATTCAGGGCTGGAAATACGAGGTGACGCCAAACACCTTCGACAATGGACAACGGCAAGCGGATATGAAATGCTACTGTCCGGTTGACAAACAGCCCGACAATTGTCCAGCCTCGGGCGCCACAAGCTTGGGTCCCTGTGCCGATGGCGCTCCCATGTATCTATCAGCCTCTCATTTCATGTATGCCGATGAGAGTTATGCCAACACAATAACTGGCTTTGACCCAAGCTATGAACGCGACAATTTCTTCATCATAATGGAACGCAAACTTGGTGTACCGCTTCAGGTGAATGCAGCCGTCATGGTCTCATTGTATATGGAAGCAGACGCGGACATCGAGTAAGTCCATGGTTCATTTTTGACAGGGAAACATATTAACAACGGGCCTTAATACACAGCATTATAAAAGACATACCGACCTTCTATGCGCCACTCTTCACAACCGGCAGCTCAGCAGTTATTAACAAGGAGCTCGCTTCCGAGATGAAGGCAACTACTATATATATATTTCCATTCCCAGTCGCAGTCTATTCATGACATTTCTTTATAGCTGGTATTAAATCTACCCGCAATTGGACGCTATACGGGCATTGGCTTTCTCTGCTTGGGCTGCATCCTTCTGGCTGTAGGAATTTTCCTCACTCTCAAACGCAAGTGGTATGGACAGGCGGCAGCTGATAGGGCGGCACTTATCAGTGCAGATACAGAAAATTCGACTGACCCAAAACCAGTTCCAACATAATGCTTAGAGCTAAACAAAGCTGATGTATTTTAATTTCTCTTCGACACAAAAATTTTAAAATATAGCAAAAAGTGATTTTTGGATTGTGATTTCTATTTTTAATTTGCAAAATTTTTAAATAAACGTGATTTTAAAAAAGTATTTCTTAATCTTTCTTTATATAAAACTGATTGTGCTGACTATTAGTTGACAACGCACAGCTCAATCAGCAGGAGCTAGGAAGCTTAAAATTCATACTTTATACATAACTATAGTTACCTTATTTGTATGCATGTATGTATGCATGTACTTATGAAGCATGTATTTAAGAAAACATACATATGTGTATGCATTAAAGCTGTATATTTTTAAAGCTTAAGATATGGGAAATTTATTTGGTAGTATATTTTGAGCCGATAATTGAGAGCAAGAGAGTTTCAGGATGCTTCAGGTTTTTAAGGATTGTAACTGATTCGGGTGCCGCAATAAACTGCGGGATATTTTTTTGTATTTCTAATCAGCCATAAAATATGCTACTGTTAAATGTAAAATTACGTAAAAGTCAAATATAAGTATATAGCAAAATTCCCCGCTAATCTGGTGGTACCTATCGTGCTCAAAACATACCCAACTTTATGATTAAAAGTTTTTTTTTTTTGCTGCACTCTTAGTTAGCTGTTCTTAAGTAGTCACTATAATTAACACATTAAAGCAATCTAATCAATCATTTATATTTGCATATGAAAAACAACATGAAAACGATTAAAAGAAGCAAAATATATACGTTTTAATCTTATCTGAGCATTTTATTCGCAGCCTTCTATAAACATTGGAAACTCTTGAGTTTATTCAGCAGTCGCAAAATGTGCTGCAACTGCTGCAGTGTGCGCCAACAAAAGATCTGGGTCTTTGGCCTAGGCACTTTTCTACTTATACTAGGCATTGTGCTGCTTTCAGCCTGGCCCAGTCTGTCGCGGCAATTAATACGTAACATACTGCCCCTGGCGCCCAATTCGTTTATGTACAAGCGCTGGGTGACCACACCGACACCGGTCTATAGCACCTTCTATCTATTCAATTGGACCAATCCGGAGGATTTGAATAATGATCAAGTGAAACCGAATTTTGAGCAGCTAGGACCTTATACGTTTAGTGATTACAAGGAAAAGGTGCATCTAATGTGGCAACAGCCGGAGGTAACCTATTACGGACGAAGAGTTTGGCACTTTGTGCCTGAGAAATCCAAGGGTAGTCTCGACGATGTCATTGTTGTTCCACATTTTCCAACACTGGTGAGTAAAAACTCTGACTTAAACATATAATCATCTTGGGATTTACTGATAACTACACTTTAAATCGATATATATTGATATTCCGACCAGGTTATTTGGGCATTTTGCTTAAATAACAAATATTTGATATATATGTTCTCATCTAGTACAAACAGATAAATAACTTTCGCAGTTTTTTAATTCCTTCCCCTATCCGCGCTTAAATATTCTCTAAAGTTTTTGTTTACGCTTAAAGTTTTCAATTTGTTTTTATTACCAAGTTTTGTCTTTCTCTCTGTTATGTAAATTTTTACTGGAGCATTTTTTGTCTGCATTTTGACTTATATTAATCCCGACTCGCAGACGGCCGCCCGCTATGTGCGCAAATATCGTCGCCCGCTGCGCAAGATTATGAACTTTGCGCTGAATCGTGAGGGAGGTGGCACCTACATGAGCTACACGGCTGGACAGTGGCTATTCGATGGTTTCTACCATGAGCTCATTGACTTTGTGGAGCGGCTGCATTCGCCGCTGTTGCCACTGTACAGTGACCATTTCGGCTGGTTCTATATGCGCAACAACTCTGAGACGGCCGAGGGTAATTTCACCATACACACGGGCCAAGGGGATCTCAGTCGGATGGGCGAGCTGCAGCGATGGAATGGCACCGCACATACGGGCTACTATGAGGGCGAGTGTGGCAAGGTCAATGGCAGCACGGGCGAGCTGTGGGCGCCGGGTCGTCGGTGGCACGAGACAATTTCCATATTTTTGTCAGATGCATCGCGATACATAAATCTGTACAGCATGGCGAATGTCACTGTGCAGGGCATCGATGCCTGGCGCTACGAGACCAGCGAACTGAGCTTCGACAACGGCCAACTGGCGCCGGATACGAAATGTTTTTGTGTTGCCAAAAAGGAATGTCCGCTGAATGGTGTGCTAGATTTCTCACCAGCCGCCTATCATGGTCCCATTTACATGTCGCATCCGCACTTCTACATGACAGATGAGTCCTATAGGAGAAATACGACCGGCTTGCAGCCGAATCCTTTGGAGCATGGCATGTATGTGGTCATGGAGCCGACTCTAGGCATACCGCTAAGCCTGAAAGGACAAGTTATGATCAGTGTACTTGTGCAGCGAGATGAGGCCATCGAGTGAGTTAAGCTCAACAATCTTTTCATGCTATTCACTCTATAGCATAGATCATATATAACATATTTATGCTCATTCTCATTCTCTTTTCACATGCTTTTCAATTTATTCGCTACTAAAACTCATCTTCTGCATTGTTATACTTTATACTTACCTTCTCTCACTTCCTTAGCTACCTCAAGGATGTGGCCTATGATCACTATGCTCCGCTGTTTGTGGTTCAACTTCACGCAGACCTGGGTGATGATCTGATCCGCCTGCTTAAGGTTGGTACTTTTCAAGTTGATCTCAAGTTTGCGCATTACTTAATGCCAAATTCAATTACAGCTGGGCTTAAGCGTGCCCAAGATTGGTCAATTCATCGGACTGGGATTGCTTTTGATTGGCCTCATCATGCTGATTGTTGGCGTGGTCGTGAGTAAAAAGCATAAATGGCACAATGAGTGGAAAACTGAAAGCAGCGCTGAAGTAAAAGTAATTGAAGGCGATGGCGTTAACGGCAGCAAATATTGATAAGACTGTGTTCTGTTTCTCTTTGTGATAACGACTGTTTTCTGTTATTATTCGTAATATTTTGAGTGCAGAAGTGATTATATTAGGCTATTATTAATTGAAGTGCGCCATAAAAATGAAATTCGTAACACAAATTGGCGTGCTGCTGCTTTTTGGCCAATTTCCTTGAGGTGTTGCCCAGCTGAGCTCGTCTAGAATTACACAAAATTATGGCCTTTCAGATATGCTAAAATTTATTAATATGTTAATAATTGTTTTTTTGTTTTTGTTTCATAATATTTGTCGTGATGTGTGCGGTGCCTGGCGGTGCACAGGCAAAAACCTTGAGCACGTAAGCTGCATACTTTACGGCGTACGAACTCTTTCACCTAGCCACACACGTACACACACACTCACCCACAGCCAAATTGCTAACTGGAAATTTGAAAAATGCCAACAGAATATTATAAGCGGCTAATTTATATGCGCCTGGCACGCAAACTTACGTTTTGCACACACATTGTTGTCGAAGAGCTCAGTGGGGGAAGGGTGCGGTTGGTGGGGCAGCTGGCAAGTAGCTGAGGAAGCTCAGGAAGTGGGCGGCGTTGCAAGTTAAACAATGTATGAAAATATGAAAATTATATGGTAGCAAGTATGTGTTGGCCATAACTTGAATAAATACACATAAGTTATGATTAAGCTCTACAACAGAATATCACGAAAATCTTAAGAGAAAAACTGCTGCTGAAAAGGCTTTAAGGCTAGTAAACTTTGAGTTTTAATACCAGTTTGTATTCAAGTTAAGCCATGGATTAAATTTTGTACACAAGTTCTGAAAGTTCTGAGTAATTAAATAAAGACATGAAATTCATTAAGAATATGAATAGTAATTATATCTTCCGGCTTTTGTAACATTTGTATTACAATGTCAAGAGTTTATTCTTCATCCGAATCAATAAATAACAGTTTTATATTATTCATATTTTATTTTTTCAAGACTCGTATAACACTAATAAATATAATTACAAGAATTCCAGGCATTGAAATCAAAATAAAATTAATATCCTTCAGCATAAATAATTAAGTCTCAATTTTATTTGCATTTTAGCAGTCAAATATATTTGTGTTTAAAACAGAAAACATACTGAGCCCAATTCCTGGACAAATATGTGTTTGCTACAAACATGATTTACATTCATTTATTTATGCACATTTGCTGGCATTTTGGCTGAGAGCTATTTAGTACAAACGAATCAACTAAAATCGGATTGGATTGGATTGGTTGATTTGCGCATTTGCTTTATTTAGATTGAAATTTATTTTATTTTGATTAACAATTTAAGACAGCATTTGATTTATAGTGCATGTTATATGCCCATAAATTCACAATATAAATAACTCAGTAGCTTGCAGTGTGCCTAGATAAATACTATATTACAATTGTTTAACAATATTGCAGACAAGCCAACACAATTTGGCGTAAATTAAAATAAAAGAGTTATGTGAACTGCGAGATATTATAATTTCTGCGAGATTATTAATATATCGGAAACAAATATAAAATAAAATTGTTTTTCATTGTTTGTTTTAACAAACACGGACCTCGAGCCAGCCAACAAAATATTTTATTATAATTTCCTTTGAAATTTACTTTGCATTCGCTCTTCACTAAAACGTGCCGTTGTGTCAGGAATTTGTAGTGAACATTTTTGAAAAGTTCCACAAAGTGTACAAAATACAAAAGAAGACTACCCCAACAGCTCAAACTACCAGGTTACCCCAAGGGGCCGCGAAGTACAGACTGACAAATTTTTAAATACCTTACAATTTAGCGAGAAATTAAAAAAAAAAATTTTTAAAAAATTGGTGCCCTAGTATTTAACTCTTTTTGAGTATTGAAATCTTTTCTTCATAAATAAAATATAATACTAAATATCACCTAAACAATTTTGAACAAAAGAATTTTTTTTTGATTTATTTTCTAAAATAAATACTTTATAGATGCTTACTATATTATAGTTAATATATTAGAAGACTTGAAGACTTTATGTATGGAAAAAAGATCAGTACAAATCTAGCTTAAAGACTTTTATTTTAATTTTTTTTTAAACTATAGTGTATTACGAGTTCTATAATCAAAGTTTTAGGATTACGATTTGCTGTGGCTAAGCATACAGCCAGCAACAGATCGAGTCGGTGAGAAACTTCATTATTTCACATAAGCCATAAGAATAAAAAAAAGAAACAAAAAACACTGTGTAAATATTTTGTGGGTAGTAGGGGTGTATAATGTGTGTGAATTGGTAGGCATTTTCATGCATAAGCCAAATGCCATTGTTGCTGCTGGCCAGCTCGCCAGCCCGCCAGCTCGACTGTTGTCCGTTTATGTCGCGAAAACTTTGGTGTCCTAATCTGTCGCCTGACTTGCATACTAATTTGTTTGCTCTTAGCCTCTTCCTCTTTATATAGCTGGCGAGTCTTACTCTTTTTAGATGCTTTCTCTGCCGGCTTTATGGTTTCGCTCTCACTCTTTCGTTCTTTGTCGTTTTGTTGACAACCCATAGATTATGTTGTTGGTTTTGGCTTTTGTGTGTTGTTGTTCTGCACTGGCAGAGCATGTTCTGGATGAGTGTGTAAATATGTATGTGTGTGTGTTCTGTCAGTGTCATGTTCGTATGGCTTATGCATTCAGTTTGGCTTGCGGCCTTAGTCTCTTGGACTCCATTGGCTGGTTTTGTTGGTTTGCTTTAGCTGGCCCTACATAAGGCCCTGTTTAGCTGCTTAATTTTTCCCTTTGTCATGTTGACAGCCCTTCGACAGGGGCTGCCTTTATTTTTTTGGAGTGTTGCTTGGGTTCATTTTGCGCACAATTTAATGTTATTTAATTGGCATTTAAGTTTATGAAAATGTTTGTGTTTCGGCTGCCGGCGAACGGCCTTCGAACGAGGTCGCCTTCCTTAATAATGTTGAGGTCAATTTTTAGCTGAGTCTGATTTTTGTTTGATTTAAGCGTGCTTAAAAACTTGTTTTAATGCGAATTTATTTTTGCTTGTAATATACATTCTGTTTTATAGAAAAAACACTAGCGAAAAAAACTACCAGAAAAATGTTTTTCATAGAAATTTTAGCACGCGCTCAAAAGTATGCAAGGCATTTTGTTGCGTTTGGCCAAATTCAATTAAATAAATCGGTTTGCAGTTAATTTTTGTTGACATTTTAAATAGAATGTTAACCACAATATGGCCCCATATTTGACAATAAATCTTTTCATTTTTTAGCACAGCTCGCCTTTGGAAAATTGATGTTGCAATTTTCTATGCGTTATGCAGTAGCCGCCTACAAATTTCATTCGCGCACAAATTGCATTGGCCTTTGGCGTCGGACAGGCGCTACAAAGTTGACAGTAACACACACAGGACGCACAGCAAAAAAAAAGAAGCAAATATAAAATGAAATAACAAAAAATAATGGAAAAAGACAAGAATTTAAGCCACGAGAGCAACAACGACCATTCGCAACGACAATGTTGGCGGAATTTAAAAATTCAATTTGAAAAAGTCAAATGTTTCGTGCACCTATTTTTTCTATGTGAAAACATGTATATATATATATATATATGTATATGATACATATATATAAATATTTTTTGTTGGCTCTAAAATTGGCCATATATGCCATGGAATTGCCACATGGGGCAAGCCAACGTATTGTACAGTTTTTATTATCTAACAGTTTTTTCAGAATTTAGCGCTTAAAATAAATTCAGTGGCGACAAAGTGTACAGAAAACAACAAAGATTAAAACTACCAAAAAATATAAACAAAAAATAAAAATTTTGAGAGAGTTTAAATATATATTCCTTATCACAGCCAAGATGAGTTGCCTTTACATATATATTCATTTGATTCATCTCATTCAAATTTAGTCCAAAGCTTGAGGTGATTCTCAGTAATAAAATCAAAAAGTCATTAACAATTTGTGTATCAGATAAGTGCGAGACTTACTTAATCGTTTAAAACTGTAAAGTTCTTCAAATTAATTTTTATATTCTTCTTCTAATAAACAAAAATTTCCAAAGCAACAGCTCAAACAATCACTCAAACATTCTCAAATAATCGATGCAAATAATTGTAAATTTTAGTAGCACAGAATAATTTATAATCATGTTCCCCAAATGCAACGAAATGCATAATACAAGTTTTAACTTTGTACACATTATTTAAGTGCATGTCTGTTTGCTGGACAATGTTGGCATTGCGAGCAGTGGGGACTGGAAAACGTTGTAATTAAAACTGCGCCCAGCTAACAAACATATTTCAGTAGCTGCCAAAATTGTAGTTTTTCATTTGGTCAGCCAAATATTACGCATACGCCATGTGCGGCACAAAGTGCGTTTTAATTGCCGCCGCGTGCTTTTATGAAGTGCACATAAAATGCCAGCCATGAAGTCGCCTTTTGTGTGGCCTCGCGAAGCAAATGAAATGCAGCTGCACATTTTTGCATAGAACTCATAAATTGTGAAATCGTGAAATTGTTGTTCAGAATTTTGTGCTAAAAATTTTGTAAGTGCTAACTTCAAAGGCTCGGTCAACTTAAGGCAGCAGCTGGTCCGTATGCTTATGCTGGCTCGTAGCCAAAGGCTACATTGAAATCGAAAGTCCAAAAATTGCAGCTTTAAGCGAAAACTGCTTCAGATGATGCTGCTGCCGTTGTTGCTGCTGGTGCTGCTGTTGAAAAAACAATTTGCCGAAGGATAGAAACATTAAAGGGCGACCAGAACGGGCCAGGGGCAAGCGGGATTGTGTGTGTGTTATCGAGTCGAAAGACACACTCCAAGCTGCTGCTGCCCTTTTGCTGACCATTATGCTCAAGAGCGCTGACTGCATAAATTGCCGGCAAGCTGTCGTTAGGCAAACGAGCTGAAGCTTAGCGCCTGGAAGTATGCAGCATGATTGCGTCTTGTTGGAGCATATGACGATGCATATTTGAAAGGCAATTTCCTGATGCCCGAGCCGGTTCATCGATGCAAATGCAATTTCATTGTGTTTACAGGCACTTTACAGAGTGTATCTGCCCCCGGAATATACGCATAATTGCATTTGATATCAATTTCCAGGACACCTGAGCCAGTGCCTTAGACATTATTTTACACAAACAGTTGGAAGGCATGCATGTTAATGTACAGCTGTCGTTCAATCGCTCAATCGCTGCAAACATTTCAATCAATTCAATCGCAAATTTCACATCCGCATCCGTTTTCCGCCATTTATTGATCCGCAAATTGTGCCGCCACCTGGCTGAATGCATGAAATGCATTTAACAATTTTCACACTTACACCGCAGCATTTTGTTAAATTCACATTAAATATACATGGGCCAGCCAAATGGCAGCAGCGGCAGCAGCAGCAGCCACCAACAGCGCCAGCAGAATTGTCAAAATGTCACTGCAAAAATCCATGAATGCTTACGTATTCGTTTATGCTACCGCATATTGGGGCGTGTGTTTGGGCGGCTGTGGGCGTAACAGGCAGCTGGTTATTCACGTGATAACAGCGTATCCAGATACGTAACACGACATTGCAATTATATATGTAAATATGCACATGCCATTTACTGTTGCATAAGGGAAACGTATACCACAGAGTGGGGAAATAAAATGCAGCTACAAACTACATTTATGCTCTAACAATTGGCGCAGGTAACTACAGCTTAGAACAACTTTTTAAATGTTTACTGATTGACCAAATATGTGCAACAGTAAAGTATTCAGATTTTAAGTACTAAACACAACTCAAACTATGAACAAACCAGCAAAGGAATCAAAACAAATTGAAAAAAAATAAGGTACAAAATACAAAGAAATATAATACTAGCAAAAAATGTTCTTGTTTTATGGAGGGACAGCAGCAATAAATATTTTTTGTTTTTATAAAACAACCATCCATCGAGATACTTAATTTTGGGTAAAAATGCAGCTTATTCAGCTCATAAAAGTTCAATTAAGTGTGTTAATTAGTTATCCTGTGCAAGCTATAAACGACAATTTGTATTTAATTAAAACTGATTTATGCCACAGTATTGCTTATTTAATTGTGGTCCGTGCTTTATTAGCCCTAGTCCGCCCGCTAGCCCCCAAATTTGACGCTCAAATGTTATCCGTCTGATTGGGCTTTCAATAATGCATATGGAGAGTGAGATGACTTTATGCCCATGTGCTGGGCTATTTAATTAAGGCAACGCAGTGGCAATGAAAGCGAACTGTACCCCATAGCCAATTGCTCCATTGTATCGATGAATCTACATATTACTGTGTGCATTGATTAAGTTAATATTGGTGAAATTCACAGCTCGAACTTTGACTGCGACGGTTGAACTGCATACGTCAATTGGAAGCCCGTTTCGGATGCACTTGTCTGCGCATCGCTGGAGAAATACATGACAAAGGGCGGACGTGCGATTAGTTTGTTGCCGGCCAGGTCGTTGCCGCAATAATAAGTGGGCTGCAGTGCCTGATTATTTGCCATATATGAGTTGGGTATTAACAGATAGTCGGAAGCACGTCCCAAAGTTCGAACCGTGCTGTGACAGTCCATGTCATAGCCAGCACCAGGTGCATCATTGAATTTCGATAAGGCAAAGTGTTCAATGTTGTAGCTGTAAAGTAAGACAAATAAAATACAAATTAATGGCTTACTATCTGGCAATATAAAATTTAAAAGCATTTGCCGGGCAGGGTTTTCTTTAAATTTAATTTAATCAAGTTTATATGATTTTCACTTTACTTTTTGCCGTGCATGTGGATTCTTTAAAGTGAACTAATATTTATTGCCGAGTTATTCAAGTGATATATTTGAACACGAATTTTCACATGCTTAAATATAAAATCAAAACCGTGAAAACTGTAAAATATATGAATGTATGAATAATAATTATGAATATTGACTTTATTTAAGTGGAATTATCTTTTTCCCAAATCTCAAGACCAAGCTTTCATCATCAATCAGTCCGTCAGTCAGTCAGTCAGCAGCTGTAATTGTAATATATTTTCTTTTTCAACACTCACCTTATCTCCTGATTTGCAGCACCTGCCACACATATGGTATACTTCAGGTCGGGCATATAAACGCCGCCCGCAAAGTTGAAGCTAACAATGCCGCCCGACGAGCTGCGCCAATACTGATCACAGCCCAGGGGTGCCAATAGCTCCAGATCAGCCTGCGAGGGCGCAGTTAACGTCTGGAACAGCTGCACGGCTGGCCCAGCACCAGCATTGCCACCAAATATGGTGCGTGGCAGTAAATTTCTAAGGAAGGGCAACAGGGGGCGCGCAGTGGGCACGGGGGCCGCAGCAGCAGCAGCAGCTGGCTGCCGCGTATGCTGCGGACACTCGAGTTGTGTTAGCGTCAGCTGCCACGTGGACTGCGGTGAGTGGCTGCCCAATTTGAAGTGCAGTTTGAGTGTCTGGCCCCGTTGCAGTTGCACGTACAGATGCTGTCCGTTGTTGCGGCCGCAGAGCTGAAAACGCTGCACCTGCACAAAATCGACGCACTCCAGCAGCTGCGTGCTGGCATTGAGGCGCGGTTGCGGCAGCTCTAAGCGCTCGAAATCGATGCGCACTTGACAGACCTGTGCGCTCCACGGCGCCACCTCGTACTGGCAGCTGTCCAGCTTGTTGAGCTGCTCTGCTGCCGGATTGTGTATGACAATGCGCTTTTGCCGAGTGCTCGACATTGCATTGCACTGCAGTTGACAGCGAACGGCGGGGTAAAAGCTGAGCAGCACCAAGAACTGCGCCAGCAACCAAAGTAACTTCATTTTTTTTTTATAAATTCTAACGATTGGCAACGACAAACACAACGCGTTGATTTAATTTCCAAATTTGGCAGTGTGTGGCCTTTTATATGTGCTGCTTTTATTTGTTATCAACTAACTGGTAAGTTATCACATTATCGATAACTGCTATTGACATTCACCGTCACCTGATAACAGATGTAACCGTACGTGATAATAGCCTTGCCTAAGCAGCATCTGGGCATAGCACATGTCAACAGGTTGCCAAGTTGCGAAATGTGCGCAGAGCTCATGAGTCAGCAACTTAGCACACAATGTGGCACATTGAAAAAATACGAACTGTCTAACCTTCGGATATTTGTAGTCATTATTAAAACTAAAGCCCATTTTATACGATTAAATGTTTCTTTACAAATCAATACTATTTTTTTTCTTAATTATTTTTGTGTTAATCAATAAAAAAGTACTGATTTGTAAACAGTTTTACATAAATTTCGTACACATGGAATTAAAAGATATTTGTATAATAAATATAAATATATATAATTTATATATATTTAATAATAAGTTATATCAAATACTTGTTAACTGGCAACTTCCTAATTTTATCATTTATTTAAATTTTTATATATTTTGTTTTTTTTTTAAATAAAAACAATTTTGCGCAAAAATTGCTGTATTGCAAAGCTTTCTAATGCGCTCTAAAGATTCCTACTCTTATGTCATGGTTTTTTCCATTAAACTTGATCAGTTATCAGAACGAAGTTCTCTTCAGTTTTGTTTGCCTCAAATATGTGGAGTTGTAGGACAATTATAGCAAATCAATAGTTCTTGCATTTTATAGGCAAGCAAGCATGCAAGCTGCTATTTGCCATAAATACCATTTTATTTAGTCATGCTTTAAATAAAAATTCATTGGCCAAACGTTCTATCAATAAATGCCATAAGCAAGTTTTACGCACATTTTATGACACACACACACGCACACAGACACACACACAAACCAATAACTGCGGCTGCTGCCAGGCGTTTAAGGCAGTCTTACACCTTTTATGGCTCCAACACACACTCGCTCTCACGCACACAAGCACACACACACTCACAAAGACTTCATCGCCGCACAGCTCCACAGGGCAAACAATAAAATGCCAGGCATTTATGTGCGCATATTTCTGATTGTGTGTTAAGTGTGCGTGTGCGTGTGTGTGTGCTTGTGTGTGTGTGAGACAAACTCTGCTCCTAATTCATTTAAGTTATATATTCTGTGGCATAGTTCAGAACGCACCTTCCACAGTAATTTAAATTCAAACATCTGTGACGTCACACAATTGTCGCACAACTTGGGTGTTTGGAATTTAAATAAACGAGCATATAATAGGAAAATTGCATGCAAAGCGCGATTAACATATCAAAAATAATGTTTTACAACAAGTTTTCAGCTTTTCACATTTGCATGCACCGAAAGCAGCAAAAAAAAAATAATGCACACCATGGCAAACATTTGCGTTTAAGTTTCAAAAATTTATGGCCCAAGTACAAGCACAGCAACAACAAGCTGGAAAATAAAAATGAAAAAAAAAACGCGTGCAGCCGGCGCGTAAAAATGGAACTACTAATAAGTAAAAACAGAACATAAAAAAATGTTTAAAAAAAATTTGTTTGTGTAGAAAGAGGCAAAAATCGGAGCGAACCGACGTTGTTAGTAAAAAGGAAAATAAAAACAAGCTAGTAAGAATTCCATAAAGTATAGTACTCGACTAAGAGATGCGCTATGAAAGCTTATATATCTTACAGCTCGATGGAAGCTGCCTGTCTTCAGAGATATTGCTTAACTATCTCTTTTTTATCTTCCAGCATACAGAGATGGCCTGAGAGTAGCTAAGAATATCCAAAGCTTGCAAGTTATACAAATTTTTGTCTAAAAGACTTTAGAAACAGCTGGGATATGAAAAGTATTTAGGAGAACGCAATTTTTTTACAGCGAATGTTTTTGATGAATTAAAGTTCTAATATTGCTCAGTTCTATAAATATGTAACTAGGACTAATAATGAAAACGTAAATGGGTGGCTTAATCAAATATATACGCTAACGAAAAAAATCGGAAAAGGGTCAAATTTAATGTCAAATGTGTATGTTCTTTAAAGTCTATTAAAATATATTGTGACTTTTCAAATGTTAACTATTGTAGTATTAGCTATTTCCAAAATAACATTTATTGAATTAAATTATTAAGGAATTTAAATATTATAAATATTAATGAATTAATTATATAAAAAACAATTACTTGACCTCGAGCCAGCTGCAGGGGTCTTATTTATTAAAATCAAAAATGAAAACAATTTGGTTTTAATATATTTCTTATCCGATATTATCCGATCAACGGTACTCATGTCTTATTTATTTATTAAATTTAAATTTCAATCCAAAAAATGTATCTCAAATATTAATTATTTGGAAAGATCAGTTTATATTTAAGGATATTTAGTATATACCTTTTATCATACTTTCACCAATGGGTCCAATAGCTTATATTAAAGGATATTTAAAGGATATTTAGTACATACCTTTCATCATACTTTCATCAATGGGTCCAATAGCTTTGTGGAAATGGGACAACTTTGCTCCGAAATGATATCACCTACTCTCCAAGGGCGTTTCAGTATGAAAGTTTAACAACCGCAGCTACAGCAGCTCTCTCTCTCTCTTTCTCTCCGCTCCTCTCGCCTATTTATGTCAATGCTTTGTTTTAGTTTTTTTTTATTATTATTATTATTGTTGTTGCTGTTGTTTTATATTGTAGGAGGCAGTCGCCTGGTCGGCTGCTTGCATGTCGTACCCACTTGTACTACCTTTAGAACTTGCAATAAGAACAAAAACTGACGCGCATTTCGCCGGTTGTTGGTTCTGGTTCTGGTTCTGGGTCTGGGTCTGGTTCTGGGTCTGGGTCTGACTCTGGTCTCGGCCCTGTTTTATGTGATCAACAACGTGTTTTGTTCTTACTCAAGTTGTTTGGTACTATGCGAAAATTGCTTCGGCGAGAAAAATAAGTGCAGGCATGTCAAAAACAAATACGCTCACACACACATACACACACACAGACTCGAGCGTTAGTTGTTTGTTTTTTGGGGTAGCTGGGAAAAGTTTTTGTGCAGTTTTCTTGTTAGTTTTGAATAACCACCTCATAAAAGTAATACCACAATGTCCTTGCCACAGCAATTTTGCAGTTTGTTGTTGTTATTGTTGTCGCTGCTGTTGCAAGCTTTTCTCATGCACAGCTTGATCGAAATTTAGTGCAAAAGTTTTACGCAAGAAAAAAGTGGGCTAAAACGTGTTCCATAGAATGCCAATTAGCTGACATTCGATTGCCTGCCAGCTGCAAGCCAAATAGAGAGAAGCCAGCAGCCACGCCCCCTAATCATAAGCAACGACATTTACAATGTGCGCGCCGACATCTAAATTGGAAATCTACCGGTAACAAGAAAATGCATATTTTGGCTGGCTTGTGTTGATTTCCTAGCCACGCCCTCTTTTGCATTTTTTACCCATATTTGCTTATCAAGTGAAATGCATGCAACGGCAGCAACAACAACAACAACAACAACAACACAACAGATGTGCGACGTGTTGCTTGCTGGCAGCAGTTAAGCGAAAAACTAGCTGTTTCCGGCGCTCAAACACTACGCCAAACTGATTGCGACGCAACAAAAAGAAAGAAAAAAAGACGAGGTATGCAACACTTTTGTTGCATTTGCAATAAATTCAAATGGAATAACAAGAAAAGCGCAACAAATAAAGAGGCAGCTGTGTTAATGCTAAAAACATGTTCCCAAAAACATATTCAACTAAAGAATTGGCTTGTTGATGTAAGTATTTGCGAAATATAAATTGTTAAAAATTTAAAGGATTACCTAAGACTAACTGCAAAACGCAATATTCTGACCCACTATTATTAAGAACTTCACAGCAAGGTTTTAAGATTAATGATAGGAGCTCAGACTCAGTTACTTCCTGCAAAAGATAACTAAATTCAGCCTGGGAAGACAACTGCAAAAATGCAATAAGTCAGAAGTTACGGAACTTAATTTAAACTCAATTTAAACAAGAAACGGTCAAGCGTCAATCTATACGAAGACCGGCAAAGGACCCCAATCCATGACATAATGTAAATTATCTTTCAGCTTGGGTTTGGGCGAAATTAAAAGTCATTTATGAGGCATATTTCTCGTCTGAGAGAACAACCAAATGTCTTTGTCAGAGCCCTGATACGCAGCTCCAACCGTCCGTAGGGAGAGATTCCAGGAACAGCTCCATCTTAGGCACATTTTATCCCCTTCGCCAAAACTCTGTTGGTTCAAACATTTTATAGCCTGTGGCCACCTCCAAGAGCAGTTACTGCGGTTACCAAGGAGCTATCCATTTTCAAATGTAGTTGATTTTATTGCCCTGAAAGATATTAAATATATTGAAATCAAAAATCAATTTGATATAATTTTATTGAATTATTCATTAAATAATTTATCTATATTTAAATTATGAATACTAATATATATTCATACATCTATATGAATCCAGAATTTAGGGAGAAAACACAACACAGAACACGTTGCAATAAATGTTAATGTTTTATTGTTGCCGGAAATGTTGACAAGCGCCATGAAAACAAATCGAAAACTTCATGTAAATAAAAACAGGCAGAGATACAAAGCGAGCTGGAAAACTTGTTGTGAACGTTGTGAATCTGTTGCTTTTTTAGCCATGAGGCACAAATTGCAAAACTGTTTTATATTTACTTATATTTAATTTAATGCATTCTGGCCATCAGCATGATCAACTTTCTCTCTGTCAGTTTGGCAATTGTTATTACTTTTAAAAACTTTTGGTACTTTTATATGCAATTTTTTCATGCAGCAACACGTTGAACGCTGCGTATGCGTATTATTTGGTAGATGGTAAATTTAACATAAATGCGCTTACAGTTAATGCGTTTAATAGTAATATTTATATAGCAAATGGTGTACAGCTGTACAAATTGAAGCATTAACTCGCCTTAAAAAGCTCAC